TTGAAGTTTATGAGAAGGTCCAAACAAGTTGGACCAAATGAGAATGGGACGAAATTCGCACGGTCAAAATGCGAATGGGACTTTTTCAGATAACGGGCAAAATGAAAATGGGCCCAGTTGCGAAAAGCACGATTCGGATCTTATGAGAAGGTTCAAACGAGAAGGACCAAATGAGAATGGGACGAAACGTGCAAGGTTCAAATGCGAATGGGACGTTTTGAGATACACCCCCTTCCGGCGTGGCAACACTCTCAGCGTGTGGCGGCGGCGCAAATGTCCACCTAGCGACCAGCGGCGGCTCCCCGCACGGGTGTGAACTACAAAAACGTTTCGCGCTGTAAATATAGCTCAAAAATATTTTTTTTCTCGTTTCTAGTTCGCTTTATGACATTCTTTTTGCATCTAGGCTCCTTATTTTTCTTTCTTTTGCATGTGCCCTTCATGACTGCTTACGTGCAGGAATGCGAAAGCATTACAGTCCCTCGCACGCGCTAGGTAAGTACACGTCAGCCAGAACCGTGGAGCCGCGGTGGCGTTCGGGAAGCGTGCTGGTCTCGCACCCCGGAGGCTCGGGCTCTATTCCCACCCAGACTAAAATGTACCAAATTTTCTTTTCAAAGTCATGAATTTACTTTGTTTACGGGAACCTCCCTGAGGAATTTGACTTCAATCCGAGCATGTTTGGCGTGTTTCGACCCTTTGCGCCGCCGGCCTTTCTTAATTCCATCGCTTGGTCACACCGCCGCCGACGCCGGATTTTCGCGTAATGAAGCATATAATGCGTTCGTAACAAAAAAAAAAAAAAAAAAAGAAAGAATTACGCGGTTCAAACAGCACGAGGAGTGAACCAATACACTTGATTTTCAGCGATTCACTCCCAACCACCACGACCTCTTTTAGAAAAGCAGGACGTCACACTCTGGACGTCATTCAGAGACGCATGACGTCGTACCACGTGAGCCTGCATAGACGCTTTAGTGTCCGCTTAATAGTTTTGCTCTAGAACACACGGCTCATAAGCAAAACATTATTTGGGTAGCGTCTTGAGAAAAAAAAAAGGTTGTTTGCTTGTTTATGCAGCCGGAAGTTAGTCTGCCTCAGTGGGCGTCTGGTGTCTCGGCTGTAGATGAGCAATTTAGCCAGTGCGCTACAACTGCTAACATGGGGTCTTTAACGTGCACCACGCGGTAGTGATATACGACCGCACGCCGGTACGATGCTCATACAGATCGAAATTGACGGGCAAGGGCGGGGATCGAGCCCAGGATCCTGGGTTCTGCAGCGCGAGCTTTCGCTCCACGTGCTTTCGGCCACCGATCCCCCCTTAGTATCTTCAGACTCGCTTCTTTTTGTTTTGTTTTTGACGTGTCGGGAGGCTTTTTGAGCAGTAAATGACGCTCGTGCCCACACAACGTTCCTCAGAAACAAATTAACATAAGTTGAACACATCACTTTCCACTTGAACGGTAGGGACTGTAAGGGCTTACGGACAAAACGAGACTGCCCAGCTTGAAAGCGGTCTAGTCTCCGCAAATAAAAATTTAAAGTTTCAAAAGAAAAAAAAAATATTGTCAATACAAAAAGAAAAGGAACGCAATTTTAATTGCTGCTGAGCTTTTTTTTTATGGTATTTGGTTAAGAAAGCACGTCGTTAAAATATACTTTCATCTTTATGCATTGATAACACAGCAACAGGTGCGGTGCTGGAGTCAAGGTCATCCGCAAGTCCGCGAGTTGAACCGGTTTACTACCCCAACATCAAAAAGACACACACAAAAAAACTTTATCAAAGTAAACGAATACATTCAGGAGCGGCTTTCTTTCTTACCGTTATGTATGCAGTCGATCGGTATCGCGGCGTTCGTGCTGGACGTCGGGTTTCATGTTTATACACGCATCTTCCGTCTGCAGTGGATGGCGAGCCGCGAGTTGGTGACTCGGCAATGGCCGTCAGAAGCAAGATCGGTCACTGGGCATTCAACCTACTGCAAAAAAAAAAAAAAAAAAAAAAAAATTGAAGGACAGAGCAAGGCCGGAGAGACGGTTTAGCGAGGGCGAATTCCTTGCTTCCTTGCTAGATGGCGAGTGAATCTGTATATATATCTATATTGTCTTTTGATGTCAGGTTTCACTGTACTTTTTGAATGATTTGATAAACAATCCACCTTTCTCCAAATATGTGCGCCAGCATGTAAAGGCATCTGGGTTTGATATTGAGTTGCTAGAACACAACGCGTTCGCAAGGCTTGGCCGACCCATTGTCTGCGGTATTTGTGTTCACGCTCATAGCCTTTCCAGGATTTCTAAAGCGCCTCCCACCTCTTTCCACTTTAGCGGAGCGAACGGTGGAGTGGAGGAGACCTCCATTCCAGCGCTTTAACCTGTCGTCGACTATAGATCTTAATGATATTTAGTTCTGGCAAACGTCGGGAAAACGTCGAATTTGGAACGCGCCGGAAATCAATCCTCTCGTTCTTATGATTAATGACGAAATAAGAAGTTGCACTTACATATTGTGCAGTGCTGGTTGTCGCGTAAGAGATAATCCAATGTATAACAACTAGGGATGCCGCGAACTTTTTTCGAATCGAAGTTTCGATGATCGAATTATGCTGTTCGAAAGGTTCGAAAGATTTCGATTTTTCGAATTGTTTACATCGTAAAATTCGACAGAAGTCGAATTTTCGAACTTGTTAAGCTAAGAAGTTCGACGTTTTTCGAACCGTCGAACTTATTACGCTAAAAAATTCGATCTTTTACGAACTTTCGAACTTATTGCGCCTCAAAGTTCGATGCTTGTCGAACTTCCGAACTTGACTGACCAAAAAATTCGATGAATATCGAACTTTCGAACTTATTTATCAAGAGAATTCGAAAAGCTTCGAACTTTCGGATCCTGAAAAGTCAGAAGGTCGACGAACTTCGAACTTTTAGGGTAAAAGTTCGACGTTGGTCGAACTTCGAATGACCGGCGGACGGTTTCATTTGAATTCAAGTAGTGAGGTACATTCGTAATATTTTTTTCTCTAACTTTTACACGCGGTGCTGCGTTCCTTACGAAAGACAATGCCGTTTGTTTCAATGTTCTGGCATGCTTAGTTTTAAAGAAATAAATTCCCGAAGAAGCGAGGAAGGACGACGGGTTTTTGACGATTATCGTTTGTGCCAGATTTGAAGCGCGCTGTAGCCGAAGCTATTTGTGGTAGAGATGTTATACTTTTTTTTAAGAATTATCTATGTATAGCCTAGGTAAGTGCCGTCTTAAGATGTGATTATTGTTATTCAACGTGAGTTTCGAAGAAATGTCCAAACATGTATCTATATGCAATTATGCCCTAAACTTGATATCTATTTTTGTCTAAGTTGTTTGAGGTATCGCATTTAAATTAACACCACATACAGTACATATCATTGCCATCTGCAGAATACAAAATAATGTATTTATTGTTTTTTCACGTTAAGGAATAAATTAACTTATTTGAGAAGATTTCTAATAGTGTTCAAGTTCAGCACGTCATTAAAAGAAAACGTTTTTTTTTTCGCTTCACGTTCCTGGGACGTGTTTCTTTTAGCCTGTACACATTATGGTAAAAGAAACTTGTTTCGAAGTTCTGAACCTCTGAATATGCAAGAATAAAACACTTCCGGCGAATTCTTGATAGTTTTTTTTTTTTTTTTTCAGCTTTTTATTCTTGGATTTTTTTTTCTTTTTTTACTATTGGCACAAGTATTTAGGTCGAAAAGACATAGCTTTGAACTTCCGAACCACTAAGCATGTGACGAGTAGTGCCTTCTGACAACGAGTTTGTAAAAATGACTATCTACGCGATCTTTTATGCAGTGAAGAGCGACAGTAGCGATATATATGCATAAATAATTTCAGATTAAAATAAGCTCGACCACGCCCTCTTTCCCATATTGTTTCCTTTAACAGTCCGAAATATCTGGAAGGGGGGGGGGGGAGGGAACTGAACCCCCCCTTGCCCCCCCCCCCCCCCCCCCCCCCCCCCCCCGCTACCCTCTTTCCCCCCGTTTTTCCTCTTCCGACGCCGCTTGTATGGTAGAACGCTCCTCAACCTCGAGTTGTGTCGGCTTTTGCGAGGCGATTCCTCCGTCCCAGAAAATAAACCTCCAGGACAATTACAAACTTAACTTACTATATGCCAGCGTCACTCGGGCGGCGTTCGATCGGATTACTAGCAGCGTGCAGGGGGTGGCGAGGTGGTTTGCCAGGTCGCTTCAAGGTTTTTCTGAGCCTCAACCTCCTGCTCGCCCCTGGCCGTTTCGAACTGGATGAGTCTCTTAAAACAGTGTGTTCGTGTGATCACTACTGCGTGATGCAGGTTAAAGACCGCCCCGGGCTGGCGGTCCCAGTTACTGATCTATGGTCTCAAGTCACTCTGCACAGGCAAATATTCCAGCACATCCGGGACACTCGTCGTCTCATTTAATTGCCTGACCAACTTCGCAGAATCTAGATATCACACCCTAACTTTTCTAAACTTGATTTTGTGGAAACCAGTGAGTGAGTGAGTGAAAGCGATGTTTATTATATCTTTTTTTTTTTTTTTTTTTTGGAAAAATCGACTGTTGCTTGTGCACTTAGTGTGCACATGTCACTGTCGATAGGAAAGGGGATTGGGTGAAAAAGAAAGGATTAGGTTTGGGGGGGGGGGGGGGGGGGGGGGAGCCAGGTGCAGGGGGATGTCCTGGCCGTCGCAGGCATGTCGAGTCATAGGACGACCCAAGCCTCAGAACGCAAAGCCTGTCGAAGTTTGGTGTGGAGCCGTCTTAGGGCGAATAGCTAAATATCTTCAAGCTGCGTTGGCTGATAACTGTGCTTCAAGGATAATATCGGCACGAACGTTCGGTTGAAGGAATGACGTTTCTTGTCTTGGCTGAACAAGTTGTGTCTGAAATGCAGATTTCGTAATCATGAGCTGGAACGGTAGATTGGGTAGTCGTGCCTTGTTCTGGTGTGTTGAACTGTAGGTGGTCTCCTAAAGAATTTCTAGGAGTTCCGTGTCCTTCATGTAAGTTATTAGTTTTTTTAGTGCCATGTCTGTCACAGCTCGCGTTGCCCGCGGATGCAGAAGGTCCTCCATGCTATCACTGGAGAGTCCGAGGCGGGAATAGGCGTTATGGAGGGCAGTACGCTCGTCATTGTAGTCGGTGCAGTGTAGGAGGAGGTGCTCGGCGTCAGCAGTTTCCTCGCAGGTTTGGCAATTGGGGTTGAGATCAGGCCTGAAGCGACCTATCCACGCTGGTGTGAAAGCGCTTCCGGTCCGCAGACGGTAAAGCACCGCGGCAGTGTGACGATCCAACCCTCGTGGGAGACGGGCTGAGAACGTGCCGTCCGCCACTCTCGGGTCCGGGTTCTGTCGTGTGATGGTTCGTCTCACCAGAAGCTTGGCGTCTGAGAAACGGGGAACTGTAGAGAGCGGACATCCGGGGTCTTTGTGAGCCTGCGCTGCTAGGGAATCGGCGACTTCGTTTCCCCTGATACCACAATGACTGGGGATCCACTGGAAGATAATCTCGTGGCCTTTCTCTCGGAGCTCGGCTGCATCTTGTGCGACTGACCGCGCCAGAGGCGTAGCCCTTTCTAGCTCCGATAGTAGCCCGAGAGCCGATCTTGAGTTCGCTCAGGACTACCCAGCTGAGCCCCCGTGCGCAGCCTGTCCGAATTCCCCAGAGGGCAAGTCGTATGGCCGCCAGCTCTGCGGTAGTAGAGGATGCCTGATGGGACAGGCGCTCGTGTATACCTACGGCTGCAGCCTCAAAGAAGGCCGCTGCTGTTGCTGTGCCTCCAGATGGGTCTACCGACCCATCGGTAAAAACGCGTGTCCGCCCATCGTACTCCGCATCCAAGTGACTTTCCGTCAGCTGCCGAGCGGTTACCACTGCTGCGCTCTTCTTGGTCCGCAGCCCTGGTATGCTGATACTAACCCTCAAAGGGTGAGGATCTGTGTGTAGTGCTGGAAGTGGGGCTAGCGGTCCTGGTGTACCCGCGATGTCGCCTAAAGTGCAGAGCTGCGCTCCCAGTTCCGAATCCGTACGTTCGGCGATGCTTATCAAGAGCGTGATGGTAGAGTCGCAGTTGCTCATTCGGATGAGATGTCCGAGCGCTCGTTCTTGCAGAAGGTTTTCAACGGTATTCATACCTGCTTCGGTAAGAGTGTGTCGTGACGATGCCGAACGGGGAACTCCGATGCAAATTCGTAGAGCTACGCGTTGCGCTCTCTCTAGGTTCTCGATCTGATTGCCGCTCAGTCGAATGAGCGGTAAGGCGTAGAGTGGGCGAGCCAGAATGAGACCCTTGTATAGCTGTAGTAGCATTTGTTGCGATGTGCCCCAGGTAGTTCCACCAAGCGCGCGGAGGATATTTGTGTGCGTTCGCATCCTCTGGAGCACCACCTGCGTTGCTGGGCCCCAGGATAGCCTCCAGTCCAAGGTGAGTCCTAGGTACGTGAATGTCTTCTCCACTCTCACCGGGACATCTCCGATGAACAGGGTCGGTTGGAACTTTGAGGGTCTCCTTGGTGCGTAGCATAGAGCAACAGTCTTTTCTGCCGATGTTGTCAGACCCAGTTGATGCAAGTGGTACACAGTGTTTGTAAGTGCTCTCTGGAGGGCGCATGCCATCCGTTGCCTACGGTAGCCTGGGGCCGTGGACCAGAGCGCCACGTCGTCCGCATAGACAGCCATGCTTATCGGGAGTGCTGGTTCCTCGGCTACTCTTGCTGCGGCTGGGAGTGATGCAATCGCCAGTGCAAACAGGAGCGGACTGACAACGCTCCCTTGGGGAACGCCATGGTCGACTCGTCGGGGCTTGCTCAGTGCTCCGCCGACCTTTACGCACATGGTGCGTTCAGTGAGGAATGCGCAAATGTAGTTAAGAGGTCGTCCACATACCCCGAAACGACGCAGGGCTGAGATGATGATTCGGTGCGGGAGGGCGTCGAAGGCTTTGCGGACGTCTAGGAATACGGCCATCGCCGACCAACCTTGTGCTTTGGCCTCCTCCAGCGAGCTGGTGATGTCACCAATTGCGTCCGCGGTGCTCCTGTGGTGGCGGAACCCCGAGAAGCAGTCTGGCAGAGCCCCGGCCGCCTCAAGGTGGTAGACTAGGCGACGTAGCACCATTCGTTCCATCACTTTGCCAAGGCATGATGTCAATGAGATGGGCCTATAGGAGCTTAGTTGGTCTTGGGGTTTTCCGGGTTTCAGTAGTGGTACCGTGGTTGCTTCTCTCCACGCTTCTGGTATTTTAGAGGTCCTCCACACATGATTGATTAGAGTCAGCATTGCTGGGACAGCCGACTCGTTAACGTTTCTCAATGCTTGGTTGGTGATTCCGTCTGGGCCTGGGGCCGCACGGTGTCTCGGGAGAGCATCGAGAACGTGCTGCAGTTCGTGCAGGGTGAAGTCTTCGTCTGGCTGCTGCATGGGGGTCGCTGTTGGGTGACGGAACTTGCTCCAACCCTGGGGGGGCGGGCTGGCAGCCGGCAGTGGTGGAACCTCAGTAAATGCATCCGCGAGAAGTTCGGCCATCTCTGTTGGTTGAAGGTTCATTGCCACGGCCATTCCAAGGACAGGGTTTTGGGGGATTGGGCGACCTGCTGGTGTTCTCGCCATCCGCCAGGCCCGGCTTCCTCCGGCTGGTTTGTCTAAGGTGGTGCATTTGAGGCGCCATTGTCGGCGTGCTAATTTTTTACCGTGCCTCCTGAACTTGGCATCCAGTCGCCGGTATGCCAGTACATCTGCCGGATCTCCAGTGGCCCATGACCGTCGCTGGGCGCGACGTCTTTTTGCCCGCAGTTCTAGCCATTTGAGGTCGGGGTTGGGACGTGTTGCTGGCACTCTGACTTCGTGGGTGACCTTTTGGAGGACGCGGGAGAGCGTTTCCGGGCTGAAGGATCGTCCTTCTTCCAGCGCTTCTTCGAGCAGGGTACGGAAGCGATCCCAGTCGACGACGCGGCAAGTCTTCAGAGGAGCTTTTGGCGGCCTTCCGATGACAATGGGTAGATGATCACTTCCCCAGCTGTCTGCCTGAGGAGTTGCATTGAGACGTAGGGCCCAAGTCGTGAAAGTCAGATCAATTACGCTTCCCGTCACTCCAGGCCGTACAAATGTCGGGTTCCCACTTGTAATATTTCTGAGGTCGAGCCTATCTAGCATTGCCTGTAGCTCTCGACCTCGCCGAGAGTCCTTTCTGTCTCCCCAGGACTGTGAATGGGCATTGAAGTCGCCGGCAATTATAACCTCTCCTTTGGCCCGTGCGCGAATGTCCGCGAGTACATGGACGTCCCAAGGTACATTAGGGGCCACGTATGCCGAGACGATGGTCAGGTAACGGTCTCCAAATTCCAATTTTACTGCCACAAAATCTGCTCCTTCACTGCAAAGATCGCTGAGGTCTATCTCTATCTGTCGTAGGTTTCGTCGAACTAGGAGGGCTGCTCGCGGTGTCACGCCCGCCACCAGAGGCCTGCTGCAGTAAACTACGTGACCCGCAATGCGTATGCTGCCGGCTGGCATTCTGGGTTCCTAGAGGGCCACAGCATCGTAGGCGTAGTGTAAAAGGTGGTCGCGTAGCTCTGGGAGTCTCGTTCTCAAGCCGTTACAGTTCCACTGGAGGGCGGAACAGGTGAGAGGCTGGGGGCGGGCTGTAGGTCTTCTACTAGTGTCCCCAATCGTGGATGTCTGTGGATTGGTAGTTAAAGCTTTCTTTTAGAAGGATTGATACCCGAGATTGGTCTTTGGGTCGGGCTTCATTGTTGTAGTAGAAAAAATAAGAAAATATCTGTACCTCTAGAGGAAAAATGTTAGATTTTTGTATCACTGCAGTCCGTCTCGCCTGTAAGAGCTCAGGGAAACGAGTTTGAAGGTTATTTATATTCCTCTCAGGTATGAATGAATGTTTTTGGTGACGAACGCGCGTAAGTTGCTTGCTGCACTGGTTCCCTCCCGGTTTCACAGTGATCTCACAAGTGGAAGTATCATTTGGAGAAATGTAAGTATGCAACGTGACCATTCCTAATTCACTGTTGCTAGCAGCGTGCAAGCCATGTTAATTGCTGCCTTAAGAAGAGGAATCCAACCCTGGCTTGGTGGTGTCGTTCTTGGTGGTGGTGGACGGGACCTCTCCGAAGAACGTTGGTGGTTGGCACCTTTAGACACTGTGGCCTCAGAAGTGGTTTCTTGTGGTCTTTCGTCTGAATTCTGCCCATTGTTGGTAATGCCTGCCCTTGGCTTGCCTTTTCCCTGTCCCTTTGAAATAGAAGCGTATGTGTCTTGGTTCTGTCCCTGCTTCCCGGTTTCCCCGGCCGCAGACATCTGGGGAAGTGGAGGAAACTCATCGCTGCCCTTTGTTGGGTTCGGAGCGTTCGGCTCTTGTAAGGCGACTTTGGCGGTGCGAAAGTCTACCGCGTGATGTCTAGCATAGTTGCGAGTTTTCCTTTCTTTCCTCCATTTTGGGCAAGATGGAGATTTGGCAGAATGGGCTTCACCACAGTTTACACACTTCTCTTGTGCGGTGCAGGATTCTGTATCTGGATGAGTGCCACTGCAACGGTTGCAGACAGGAGCGTTTTTGCAGGATGCCTCGCGATGCCCGTAGCGACAGCATTTGCGGCACTGTATAGGGCGCTCTTTGAACAGGGTCACGGGATGACGCACAAGGCCAATGTAGACAAAATTTGGTAGTGCTGTACCGCAGAAGGAGATCTTCATTGCTGAGCTCTGCCCAAGTCGACGAAGTCTTGCTACCCTATTTTCCGGCGATCTTAAATGCTCCCAGACATCTGCTTCGGACAGCGCGGTGTCCACTTCTGTGATTACGCCTACAGCGTAATGCCGAGGAAGTGGTTCGTAAGCTCTTACTGGAATCCCACATAGCTTCTTGCAGTCTAGAAGAGCACGCGTCGTCTGTCCATTCCTTGTATCGACTGCTATGAGGTTCAGCCGTCTGTTGTACCTTATTTCTATGATGCACTCTGGGCAGAGTAAGTTTAGAGCATCGGATACTTTTAGACTGCTCAATGACGTAATAAGAGTGTCTTCGGCAGCTGGTACAAAGATAACCGTAAGACCTTCTGTCATTAGGGTGCTTGTGCGGATTGTGCCCGTGCTGTTGCTTGAATTCGAGCTAGGTTTTTTCCGCTTTTTTGATGTCTTAGCTTGTGTCCAGCCTTCGTCATCGATGTCGGACATTTCCATGTCATTAGGGGGAATTATCACCCGCCGCTGGGATGTGGTAGCACCCTGATCCTCTAGAGTGGGACCCACAGCAGGATTTCCAGTCAGGCTGTTGTTATCAGCTTCTGATGCGGATATTGAGTCACCGCATATGGAGGAAGGCAGACTGTACCTTTCGGTGGTGGCCTTGTGATTCGAATGCAGTGAAGATGACTTGAGGGACATGGCGAGGTCGATTCACTTGCACTGGGAAAGACCCAGTGCGGGGACACCCGCCAGTTGATGACCGGATAAGCGTTCTTCAATGTTGATTCAAATTCTGGCTATTAAGGCAGCTGATAACAATAAATATTCGGTTTCAACCGAACGAGGCTAGAAAAGTGCAACCGTCTTAAAGACACTTCGTCTTCCTAAAAACCAGTGAGTCGTGAAAACGTTATTTGAAACAAACTGTGGAGGAATTTGAAAACCGGACTTCGAACTTTGAAAACGTGGACTAGAAAGAAATTCAAAATCGTCGAAGTTTTTTTTTTGTTTTTTCGAATTTAGCGTTAAAAGAAAATCAAAACCTTCGAACTTTTCGAACTTTATGCAGAAAAAAATTCGAAATCTTCGATTTTTCGAACTTCATGCCTATAAAAATTCGAAGCGTTCGAGGTTTTCGAATTTTATTTCCAAAGAATTTCGAAATCTTCGAATTTATCGAACCTGAAGTAAAAAAAATATTCGAAATATTCGATTTCCAAAATTTTAGAAACCGCGAAAGTTTCGAACTTTTCGAATTCGAAACTTCACCGTGATCGAAAGTTGCGAATTTTTCGAATTCGAACCTCGGTCAATACGAAAATATCAAAAATTTTCGAAATCGAACTTCAGTTCGCTTTGCGAATATCGAAACCTTTCGAAATCGAACCTGGAGCGGTTCGCGACATCCCTTATAACAACCCGGGTCTATATAGCATGAGCGAATGACGTTTTAGCGAACAGCGACATTTGAGCGAATCGACGTTTTAGCGAATAACTGGGGCGCGCGTTAACCCATCCGCCGCGCTGCGCTTACGCCGCTTCGCGGCAACAGTCTGCGGCGACTCAATACAAAAAGGTGAACCCATTTGGCCCACCCGAAAACGCCACTTCGCGGCGTCCGACTATTCGCTAAAGTGTCATTCGGTGAAACGTGGGCGTTCGCTAAAACGTCATTCGATCAAGTGAATGCCTCTTATAACATCCCAATTACTACAAAAAGGGATTAAATACTAGAACGTCCCTGCCACAGGGAAAGGCACCTTAGCGACTGCAGCTGTTGTTCAGCGCAGTCGTGACGCGCGCTCTTCTGCCACTGCGCTCTCCTGTCGCCGTGTCAGCCGCGTTCTGCCATCGTCGGCGCTCTCGTGTCGTGCGCTCTCGCGGCTATGCTCGCAGCTTCCTTCCCCAAACGTAGCTTTTTGGGCGCGTCGGCGACAACTGGTGTCAAGAGTTACAAGCGTGGAGAGTTACAAGCGGGAGATGGCGACACTATCTCTGCTTTGAGCAGCTTTGGTAGCTTCAAGGTCGCCGCTTCAGCGCTTCCCGAATCCAACTGCCAAGAGACATGGCGGTGCGCACGCCACGCGCAGCGCGCTGCTCTCGGTGGAACTTGCGGTAAAACGTGTACTACATTTGTAACTTTCATACGCTGGAGGCGGCCGATTAGACAAACGCATGCAGCCACGAACCTCCTCTGCGTGATCAAAGTGACAAGCCAGTGCCTTCGCTCTTCGCCTGACAACGCAACGGTTATCAGGAAAACTCCGTCACGTTTATATAAAAAAAGAAAAAAAAAAAAAAAAGAATAGTAAGAGTGCACGATTAATGAATGCCCTCTCTCTTTGCGATAACTTCTCTCCCTTGTTTACGTCGCTTTAAAGTGCAGCCAGTGCAGCCACCTCAGCTGCCGTCGGAACTCAAACAGTCTTCAATGTCACGCCGCCAACTCCACGAGATCCGTCTGAACCACCGACTGAACAGATAAATTTCGCATTGTGTTTCCACACGCGAAGCCATTAGCATGCTGCACTGGTGCTGCACTCAAACGGTTCCCTGTGCGCGGTACTGCTTTTCTAAAGTCTTTCTTTTCCCTGTCAATGACAGCCATCAAGCTGGAAGTCGGTGGTGAGACAATGCACACAAGTGACGAGGATCTACCGGCCGAGCTCCAGCGGATCGTCTGTGAAGAGCTGGGCGAGACGGACCAAGGCCGGGCAGACGCGTTGACAAGGCTCAATCAGTTGCTCGATGGTAGGTGCAACTAAACAGATTCGTGCCTGTGTTAAGCCGGGGTCACACTGCTCACACATCCGACAAAAGACAGTCTGCAAACACGAGTCACCGCAGTATCCGTGGTTCGAATGCCGTGTGCCAAGTTTTCTCCTTGAACGCATTGCCATACGGCATTCGAAGCACGGATTTCGCTTTGACTCGCGTTTGAATCTCTATGCATACTGTCTTTTGTATAATGTTTAAGCAGACATATAATAGACCGATCTCACCAGCCAGTTTGACTACGCCACCGCTGCCGCAGTGCATCGAGAGAACTTCCGTATTTTTACACGTGGGACGACCTCGCTGGAGCTCTCTGTATGCGTGTAGAGCACGAGAAGGCTCGTCGCCTCGTGCACAGCAGCCAGCCTCCTGTAAATTAAAGTGATGGCGGCGTCACACATGCTCCGAACGCTTTGTGAGATCAGTCTATTTGTGACCACACTCAGTACTCAAATTAATTTTGATGGATGCTGTGGGGGATTTTTAAATTTTAGCATTTTTTTTTTGTTATGTACTAAGCGAAATTCCGATTCCTGTACCAGACCTACTTAAGGCTTACCAAACGGAATATCGACTGCCAAGGGTAATTTTTTTGTGTTTTTCAGTTTCATAGTTTTGGTAAAAATAATCACTTCAGTTACCTAAAATGAGACCCTTGTTGAAAAGGGAGCAGTTTGTGTTTCTAATTCTTAAGGTATTTAATTCATGAAGGTAGATTTCTTCAACCTCACGTCGATCACGTCGTCACGCTTTTCCACAAACCTATAAGGGGCTAAACAACGCACGACATGTGAATGTCGTGCAAATTGTTTGTTAACAGTGAAATATATCTCACATTTTGATGTTAAAAGTGAAAATAACTGAAAAGTCACTGACATAAGTCAACCAACGGTCAGTAAAGACTACTACTGTCAGTAAAATACGTTAACAGTGAAGTATAATAAAATAGTGTTCACAGTGAAATAAGTATAATAAAAATTGCGTTTACAGAAAATAAGTAAATATAAAATTTCAACAACCGGTTCGTCCAGAATAAAGTAGAACTTGGCATTAAAACAATTAAAACTTCATCATTATGTTTCAAGTATGTTTGCTATACTTGCAAACATAATGGGTTTTTTTTATAACACGACTTTTGATTCGGCCAGTTGGTTCGTATTATACATGATTAAAATAGCGCTAACTGGACAGGGACAAAAAAGGCACACGTACGACAGGACTGGCGCTGACTTACAACTAAATTGATTGCGTCATCCAACCAAACAATTTATACCATCGCCTGCGTACATAACAAACACAAAAATAGTTATAAAATACGATTATATGTCTACCAGGCACCTATCTTCAGATAAAGCCACCCAGAAAAGATAATTCTACAACAGCATGTTTGGTATAAGTTTGTTATTTTCCTCCGCAATAGATTTTCATCCCACGGTCCTGGGGAAACGCGATCTTCGGCTAACGCTAATATTCACTGCTACGCGACAAAAAAAAAAAAAAAAAAAAAAAAAGTTAACGGGAAACCGCAGACAAAGTCTAAGTTTTCCTATCCTTTGATTTAATAAGCAGGGGTATGTTGATGCCTACAAATGCGGCTCGGCAGCAACGGCAAGAAGGTGCTTGAACGTGTAAAGCGTTAGGATTTTGTTCAAAGCAATGTGCAAATTATGCTGTCGTCGTCACATTGTAACTGTCTTTCTCTACACTGTCCTCTGCAGAAGAACCAGAGCTCAATGCAAGGCGAGACAGTGTGTTCCTTCTACGGCACGTCCGCGTAAGGAAATACAATATCGAAGCAGTACTGGCGACTCTCAAGTATTATTACAAAAACCGTGCGGCATACCCTTGCATCTACGATAATTTCCTACCTTCAAACGCCAAGCCCGCTTCCAGACGTATATTCATGGTGCTGCCAAATTTAGATGTTCACGGACGGCGAGTCCTGTTGATTAGATCAGGTGAGAAACGGAATAAATCCTATTGGCTTGCATTACCCCATGTACTTTAACGCTATACGGTCAGAGGTGGGAGAAACAGTTGTTGTTCACAGGTTCCGGGAAAAAGTAACTTAGAATGTGTGTATGATTTTACAACGAAACTGGCCGATACAGGTTAAACTTTGCATAGGAGCAATAGACTATATGTAGGGAGGCTCAAGTGAGGGTGGGTGCAACTGCTAGATCGGCGATCACGGGACATGGACGCCATTTAATTGCTAAATTTTGCTGGGAGTCTATGGGGCAAAGGGTCGTTTTTTTTCCTAACTCGGGTCATAAAAGTCCATTAAGGCGGTTGAATAATTTACGCAAGGTATAAATGATTACTTTTCCATAGCCACCAGTTTTGTTCCGATAGGTTAAGTATTTTTTTAACGCGAAAACTGGTAAATTCCGCCATCTTGGACGTTGCTGCTTGTCTGGCAACTGTGTTTTCTCCGCTCGACGTTTGCAATTCTCGGAGCGAGAAGGAAGTGAGGGAGGCTACGCCAAGGCGCTCGTTGCTTGCAATGGGAGGCGAGAGGAGGAAAGGCGAATGGAGCAACAGAGTTGCAACAGAGCGGGCGCCTGCTCTCGTGCAGGCAACACTGGCGCATATCCTTTCTCGAATCCTCTCCCTCAGGTGCCGCCATTAAATTGCAAATGCTCTCCAGGTTTTGAGTTGCGCCCAACCTCACTACAGCCTCTCTAACGATATGCGAAATGTAGAGCGCCATCTAGTAGCGTGCCGAGAACTGCGTACGCCGTATTGGTAGCGGCGTGAAAACCAAATCAGTGAGCCTAGATTGTCGAACCGGAGCCGAATCAAACCAAAAACCGGAACCGAACAGTTATTTTTAGCCAAACCGGAACTAAACCGAACCGAAATCTTCGCCGCCATCTTGGAACTGAACAGAAACTGAACCGCAAAAAAAATATAACGGTAACCAGTTCAAAATGGTTCGAGACAATTTTTTTTTATTACAAAATGTTAATTTCTGAATTATTCCAACTCCGGAGTGGCAACTCCGCAACACTGATGAAGACGGTGCCACCGTCAAGACTTGTACCAAGTGCTGCGCCCGAACCCAAGGACCCGGATAAGCCGACTGGCTGTCGCGTCCTTAAAGGCCGACGTACACTTCGCGCTTTCCACTTTTCTCCCGATTCCCCCTCTCCCGCTTCTACCCTGTCCACATTGCCTGTTTCCTCCGCCCGCAAGGTGAGGAGGATCTTCTGCCTTGCAGAAGATCCTCCTCACTATCCAGATTAAAAGGTTAAAAGGCGCGAACAAACAGGACGAAAAAAGAGACACGTACGACACGGACAGGCGCCAACATTTCAATTAGCGTTCTATCGACATCTGTTCTGTTTCTTTTTTTCTTAATTAGCCCTATCGGTATTATTTATTTTATTTTCGTCGGGCAACATCTAACGTGTTACACGATGTTATAATATTTAAAAAAATATATATTCTGCTAGTGAGTTCGGCAGCAGTGCGCGTCAAAGAAACAGCGTACTAATCATCTGTATCTCTGCAGTTTGCCGGCTACTCGTGGATTCAAATCATCGAAGATCACCACATCATCATTAGTCACTCACGCTGCCATGGGCCAAGAGACGCAGCGACAACAGCGCAACTCACGGCAAGATCATCTGTAAAAGAAGCCAACACGCCAGCCTGGTCTTCAGTTCGGCAGCAGTGCGCGTCAAGGAAACAGCGTAATAATCATCTGTATCTCTGCAGTTTGCCGGCTACTCGTGGATTCAAATCATCGAAGATCACCACATCATCATTAGTCACTCACGCTGCCATGGGCCAAGAGACGCAGCGACAACAGCGCAACTCACGGCAAGATCATTTATAAAAGAAGCCAACACGCCACCCTGGTCTTCAGTTCGGCAGCAGTGCGCGTCAAGGAAACAGCGCACTAATCATCTGTATCTCTGCAAGTGAGAAGCACTTATTTTTTTATATAAGCCTAAAACGTATCTTTGCACTGCTGCCGAACACAGCACCGATTGTCTTTTTTGTCTGTTTTGAGTGTGTGAAGTACGGTGACGTCGGGTCGCTGACATGACTAAAGGCCCGTTCACACACGTCGGTTGCATGCAGCTGCGTCCACAGCGACCGCTGCAACCGGTACGACTTTTGCAACCAGTGCGTGCTGCGTGTACACACACATGGAACCGACTCATGCCGCTCGCCGTGAACAGCCAATAGAAAACCTGCCACAGCTTTTGCCCTCAGCCAATAGCAATAAACCAAGTCTTCCTTGCTAAAATGGCGGACGGTGGCATGGACGCGCGCTCGTCGGGTATCTCACCGCCGTCGGCTCTTCCGCTGCACGAGCTTCTGCTTTGCGTGTTTTTGGAGTGCGTGCGCAGGTACATTGCCCGCGCGGGCAGGGGGACAAATTGGGCTTTGGTGGCGCGGTCGACGGCTGCAGCGCAACTGCTGCTCAGCCAAACAACGCGTCCTCCTCGGGAATGGGTTCGGTTCCTGTTGCGATCGCGGGAGACCTTCGGTGAGTTTCACCATCTGGTCCGTGACCTGCGTCTCGACGACGGACGCGATTTCTTCGCATACTTCCGGATGACACGCCAGAGGTACGTACATACCTCAGTTTTTACCCGATTACCTCTCTGCGGCGTCGCGGCTGTCCTCAGCCGTAATAAATATTTTATTGTTATATTATTATTATTGAGCGATAAGCAATGTCTTCAAAGACCCGTCGATTACCAAACTCGAGATTGCCGCCGGAATGGACCATTTTCGGTATTCCTGGTTTCAGCGCTTCGACATGAAAATATGTTCGCGATCTACGAACTCGCGAGCGATCATGGCAGGTTTTTAAAGAAGCGGCCCATGTCGGCGCTCGTGTTGTGCACAGACGTGCATCACCAAGACCTCTAGAACCGGCAACTTCCGAAATATGTTAATTTAAATCAATATTAGTTCTGCGGAGCCGTGTTCCGAATTAACAAAGTGACCTTGTAGATTTGGAGAACACAGTTGTGATGACTTAATTTGCTAGCATCCAACCAGTGATTTCATCGTAAAGTAGGACGTAAAGATGCAAATATTAGCATAATTAACGAGGTTGACTGTAAAAAGAGCTGGCAAAATCGGCGCATATGCTCTTGGAGGTTTTGCTTTAACGTAAAAATTTAAAGGCGTAGGTGTTGATTTTGTAAACTGTATCATCTGCAGATTTGACCACCTGCTCTCCCTGGTTGGGCCTCTTCTACAGAAGCAGCTGACCTCTTGGCGAAAGCCGATTCCCCCGGCTGAAAGGTTGTCGTTGACAATCCGGAAATTTGAGTGATTTTATGACTACTATGAACGCAACATTAAACTTCACCTTTGAGAGCTTCCTTGATTAACAAAAAAGAAAATAGCTAATAGTCTTGCATTCCTTCAGCCACTGTCAGTTCATTTGTGTGAACATACTTACTAAAAGAAGTGTCCTATTAGTTCAACATAGTACATACCATAGAATACCGTGCATCTGCCCATTCCACATTCTCTCGCAATTATTTCTATATTTTAAGTGGGTGCTTGCCCGGTATTTTACGGTACTTTTCTGCTTCACTCACAGCCAAAAATCAGACATTTTTTTAGTCATCTCTTTTCGTCGGTAGAGATCTTGTAATGAAAATAAGGTATTTGAACGAGCTCTGCCACAGGGTGGTAGTGTCTTGGCGCCATGTTCGTGGTCGCCAGGCAGCTCGGTGGACGTGCATTGTTGTGTTGAACTGGCCGGATATTGAGTCAATCAGTGCCACCAAACTCAGATTATTAATTTATTAACCAGCGTATGTCTGTACGGGAATTATGCTTTTCTGGCCATTCATTTTATTTTGTGTCTCAATATGGGAACGCACATTGCGAGCCAGAATATTCAACTGCGTCGTGTTTGAATCCAACAAACGCACAAAATGGATGCCCGTTGATCAAAATGTTGCTTGAGTTAGGTATTTCTTGATACTGAAAGTTATCATAATACAATGCAATACAACCGAAGCGAAGACGAATGGAGTGGTTTCGCCGGGTGAACCGCAAAGATGTGAACGGCTCAAGAAATCATTATAATGTGTGTGGAAAACACTTCATTTCACATCATGCTTTGCTATGCTTTGAGGACGACTGATCTGCATAAGAAATGAAGCAAATCAGCTGTAGAATCCATGCCATCAGTAGTCAAATATTTACCTGCATTGCAATGATGACAGTGTCTGAATGAACTCGCTTTCCTTGTGGCTCACCTAACCAGCCGCGGATAATACAATTGTGGCCGTTAAAGGACTGCTACAACTTAAGCTTTTTTCGAGTCACAAAACTTGTCCGCAAAACAAGATAATTGAGAATGCCGCACGTGTAGGTACGCTGCCAGGTGTCGACGTTCACAACACATTCTTGTACATGCGGTATAAATGTACCAATGTCATCTCCCTGTGAACATGATGCTGGCTAGTCAAGTTTTGTTTGTTTGAAATTTTGTGAATGGGTTTTGCTGTCATCACACCAGTGGGAAAACGCACCATTGCACAAAAACGTCACGAGGAGGCACTTGTATGACATTGCCCGAATAAAAACGCTGGTGTTGCAGATTTCACGCATACCGGCAATCAATAAAAGTTAGCAGATGAGGCGAGTGCCTTGAGTTTTTTGACATTGTGTGAATATCTCCCATATGATATTCTTAGTGCATCAAGACCAATGCCCTGACAGGACCAGGCAGGAAATAAGGACTATTGAAACTAGTAATGTTGCAAACTTTATGGGCTTGCAACATCGCTATATTTTCCGACCTTTAAATTGGGAGGTAGGTACCCAGACTTTTCAGAATTGAAAGTGCAAAATCATAAAATGGAGGTTCAAGAAACTGCAGTCACGGTCCAGGTGTGGAACCGAAACAGTCATGCTAACAAATACATTTGTATGGACATATTTACAGACAAGTACCGAGAGCCTCGAC